CAGCTCTCTTCACCACGACAGACCGGTACAACACCCACATCACTGCAGACACAGCACCAATCCTTTAAGGTCACCAAAAAGGATCCCCTCAACACCTCGGCTGCTCCTAGAAATTCTGTCCATAAAAGTTATGAACAGAATCGGTGACAAAGGACAACCTTGGTGGAGTCCAACTCTCACTGGAAACGAGTCCAACTTACTACCAGCAATGTGGACCAAGCTCTGGCACCGGTCCTACAGGGACCTAACAGCCCGTATCAATGAACCTGGTACCCCATACTCCCTGAGTACCCCCCACAGGAGTCCCTGAGGAACACGGTTGAACGCCTTCTCCAAGTCCACAAATCACATGTAGACTGGTTGGACTCCCAAAAACCCTCCAGGACCCTGCTGAGGGTGTAGAACTGATCCAGTGTTCTTAATGAACACCATCGTTATGGACAATCCATAACAAAGGGAGGTTACCCTCTCGTTCACCGGGGTGAACCCCAACATACAGGTGAGGGGTAATAAATATGCCCACTCCTGCTCGGAGCCTCTCAGCATGGACAACTCCAGAGTGGAAGAGTGTCCAACCCCTCTGGAGGAGACTGGTTCCAGAGCCAGAGCGGTGCATCGAGGTGAGTCCAACTATATCTAGTCTGAACCTCTCAACCTCACACACCAGCTCAGGCTCCTCCCCCACCAGAGAGGTGACATTCCACGTCTCTAGAGCCAGCTTCTGTAGCTGAGGATCGGACCGCCAAGGTTCCTACCTTCGACCACTGTGCATTACACATATTTAAAAGTGTACAAGAAAATATAATTCCTAGGAACCAGTCAGCTGTGGGTCCAAAACTCTCGTTAAATAGGATCACTTTGATGATGTAGATGTTCACATGGACTCCTCTAAAACCTTCTTACAGTCTAAAGTCCAAACGGTTCCAGAAACCAGGGAGCAGAGCTAAGTCTGACAGGTGTCCCATGCTAACATTTTACTTTAAATCTGAACCAAACACCTGATTTGCCTTCACGTTGTTGAAGAAAATTAAATATCTGCATACTTTGAGGTCAGGGTGGCGGCTGATGATGATGTGGACTGGACCTGGTCTGGTCTGGCTCAGGATGGAGTAAACATCGTTCAGGCCCGTGTTGTAAACCAAAGTTTTGTTGATCTCCTTGATTTCATCTCCACACCTGCAGATGTGAGAAGGTGTTCAGGAACAGATGCTGTCTACAAAAACCCAACCTGAACCCTAAAGGTCCTCACCTCAGTCTGCCGTCTATGTGGGCGATGGATCCAGGAGAGATGGTGTGAATAAAGATCCCAGAACCTCCTTCATCAGAAGGAACACAGCACAATCCAATCCCCAAACCAACTCCAGCCTCTGCGTGTTAGGCACAAATTAATCAGAACTATTAGCTGCCTCAGACCTTTAGCTTGTTCAGACCTTTAGCTGCTTCATGAAGTTTAAGCTCCAAATCTTATTTCAGAAAGCAGAACGAGTCTTTTGTTCAACATTAGAAGGACACATTTGCATAGCCAACGGAAAGACKTGGCCTTTGACATGAGAAGGACTAGATGCTGTGTGGCTAAAGGCAAGGGCGTAACTTTAAGTCTACCATTGGGGGGGTTATGCTTGAAAACATGACATTGTACATTTTTAAATCAAGTCAAAGTTACMTAAAGACAACAAGAGAGTTGCATCTGTCTACTTAACCAGTTAATTTCTATTGTGTTTGAGCAAATGATGCCATTTTATTGGGGGGGTTATATTGACTGGATCAAATTATTGTGGGGGTCATAACCCCCCTAAACCCCCTGCAAATTACATCTGTGGGTAGTTATGGCAGCTAATCCTGTTATAATCTGATCTAGTGGGAGCATGTAGATATTAAATAAGAGGGGTCTTAGGATTGAACCCTGGGGTATTCCACATGTAACTTCTGTCCGCTTCAATGAGAAGTTACTTATAGGAACAAAGAAATCCCTGTTCTTTATGTAAGATTCAAACTAGTTGAATACTGGACTGGAGAGTCCCCAACTCTCCAGTCGTTTCAGTGATATGTCAAAGATCGACGGTATCAAATGCTGCGCTGAGGTCCAACAGAACCAGCACTGTGGTTCTTCCACAGTCTGTATTATGGATTGAACACTTTGACGAGGGCAGTCTCAGTACTGTGGTGAGCACAGAGACCAGACTGAAAGACATCAAAGTGGTTGGTTACCATTAGGA